ACTACTACGCGCGACTGGACGGAATTGAAATTCTTTTCTTTTGGGAACGGAACTTCGTGGTGAAGCTTTGTAGAAGAGTTGTTTCAGTCTTGTAATTTGTAATTGATTTGAGGTAGTGTGTGATTTTAATAAAATATAGAATGGATTATTGGATTATCGTTAATTTTATTACCATAAAATGTGGTATCTGTTGAAAGGGACGTTTGAATATTTTATTGTAAAGCTAATTATTGATTGAGTATTGTTATATAGTAATAATATAATATTGATTTAGTTTCACCATTAAAAAATAATATCAGTCCAATACACGACGACAGAAATTAGTACTTCAAGTTGATCCACCAGGTGATTTCCATCACTCCAAAAATCAATAATCACAAAATTACACTAACATCCCCAATTGGCTCATTAACCGAGGTTTGGATTATACTTATAACTCAAGGAACATTACCGAGCTACTAGTTCAAGGACAGAGTAACGAAACAGGGCACGAATTCCACCGCGTTGATTATTTCTATCCTCCGTGGACGGAAACCACCCCTGAAAGCCCCGTAGAATCCATTCGTTCACGAATTCCTGGCCAATTACGGTTCCAGGGTCTACGACGCCACCGCAGTTCGTCTTTGAGCGGTAACGACGATTCCAGCGATTTCTTCGTCCCCCACCTCCATCCTGCCCCCGACCGCTGAACATCCCATCCGTTCGAACCCCCGTCGCCCCCGCGCTACTCTATCGGCAAAGATCTCATACATATTAATGGCGATCCGATCGATTTCAAGCTGCGCTCGCTTCTTGCTCTGTTTAGGGACACCGACGTTTCGGCACATAAGCCCTTCCCGCCGCCCACAATGGTTATTATGCCATTAACGTAATGAAGTTAGGCGGCGGTAAAGGTTCCGGTGGTTGGGCACCGCGCCGCGCCGCGCCGGGTCATTCGAGATACGAAGAACGTGATAAAATAGAGGCAACCTGGCGGGTACTCTGACAGCGGATTTCGCATATGTTTGTTGGCTAATTGTTCATCGTGCGTGGCACGTGAGCCGAATTGATAAACAAGGAATATTGATTATACCGATCGTTTAATCCTGGTTTAACACGTTGACCGTCATGAAAATTTTGAGCGTTTCGTATAATGCTACTTACTTTTTCCCAACAAAGGCAAATGCTATTGGAATGAATTATTAACCCTTTGCCATACAACATCGTGGCAGACTCGTGACAGAGATTTCTAATATGGTTTCACAAGTTTAAGTCTCATTCAGTTCTTTTGAGTTCAAATGAAACATTGTTTTTCTTGTTAGCGATCTGTATGGTGTAGAGTACATCTAGATATAGAAAGAGTTCGGAATTTTTTGTTTGATTAATGTATTATTGACGATGAATAGCTCTAACAAGTGAAATTAAATCGTAGGATAAGAAGTTAACACTACACGTACCGGCACTTTGTATGTACCAATTTCTACTGTGACCAAATAATATAGTCACAAAATAAAAGTAAACAAGTTAGACAGTAAATTTTTCTTAGTGGAATTAAAAATAAAGGATAAGATGAAAATTGAAAAACAGATTAATTCCATAATATAGGAATTGATATAAAGTTGAATAAACGAAAGAAAATGTAGAATTTTAAATCATATTTTGAAACCGGTCATTCGATCAGTTACGGTAAGTTCAGTGTTAATGATTTCATATCATAACTCCTAAGTTACACCATTATTTAGTTACGTATATGACTATGTAAACATTTTTATTTAACATCATAATTATTACATTTAACACAATGTTGTTTGTTTATTGTATTACATTTCATGTATTAACAATGAAGTCATATATGCCATACAACACCTGATTTATAATTTTGAAATATTACAATTTGATATAATGGAAATTACAAATCAATAGTTTTAACTTTTCTGATTAAAATATTTTATAATTATTCCATTGTCTACACGATTGTTTACTGTTATAAATAGAATTAATACGGAATGCTCAGGCATAATGATCAGTCACAGACATGCTACTAAAAATTCCAAACATAATTTTTACTTTTATAAACAAACAATAACTCATACGAAAACCATCCCGAATTCTTCTACATAAAAGATTGCCTAAAATATTATACAATTCATAAACTCTGATCAGTCTTTTCAATACTGAAGATTAAAAATAACAACCGAAGAGCAAAGACAATTAAACAAACCTTAGCAAAGTATTCTACAATATGAAACCTACAAATTTGTAAACCATACTGTTCGAAATAGAGGATTATTTAAAACCATTACTTTCCTATAACTATAAATCATACAACTCTTAGAAAAAAGACTTAATTAGAACTAGCATCTTCCTTTAATACGCCACTTCACTTAACAGTACCACCAACTAATTCCGTGCGAGTCAGTCTCAAACCCCGAAAAACAAGAAAGATACAGGAATACACAGTCTGCACATTTCGCCGTGAGTCATAAAGCGCATTCTGCATCCCGCCTTAAAACGGAATGAGGTAATAAAATTATTTCAGGGCAAGTGTCTATACGACGATTCCTATTTTCACAGAAGGGACCGAGTATCTGATGATTTACGGATGGCAGTATAATTACGAGTCCCGTAGACGTGACGTGGCTCGCAAATTATCGTGACACGCGTTTATCACGGCGCTTCGGGTCCAAGTTGCGGAAATCGTAAACGGCCTGGTTTAGAAGGCGGAATAACGGATTAATTGCCGGAGCTGTCTAAAAGGGCGGCTAATGCAAATTGGCAAATTATTGCTGCGAAAAGAGCGGCCGCGCGAATTAGGCCGAGTAAACGCGGCTCCCTCCATCATTCAAGCGAACGCGAACGCGGTCGGTGGGTACTTCAACGGGTTACCACTGATCAATTGTAACGATATAATATATTATTGGACGCTGTGTACTGTCTGATTAAAACGCTTATGCGGACGACGCGTAGTACTACGACCGACAGATACAGCTTCGCCGCGGCACAATGTTCACCCGGTATTAACACTAAAATTACCAGACGGATCGAAATAACCCATTCTCGATTTCTTCTTTTTGCAATTGTCGAAAAGATAACAGATGTTTCTCGGAGAAATGATTAAAGGATTTGAATTAGTTATACGCAAACTGAATTGTAAATCAATTAAAGTCTCAACAGATGCTTTCTTGGAGTTTCTATAAAGGAATTTCAAAAACTCAGTTTAATTGCTCGGTAGATTTAGTGTTAAGTAATGGCCGGAAACACGTGCACTTCTTACGCGGCAATATTTGGGACACCGTTTTGGCTCGGGTTGTCTGAAGTTAGCATGTTGTAGCAAAATATTCACGTTATTTGTGGTCGATATTTTTCTTGAGGATGATAAACGCAGAATTTCCCTGTAACGTCGCGCTTGAATTCCCTAAGTATCTCATTTCTATCTATAGTGCATTGTTGTTACGTATAGCTAGGTAGTTCTTTTCATTTCTGATTTTATAGAATTTTGAAAGTTATCGCTGTTTTGGAAGTGCTTTTAAATGTGTAACATTTTATAAAAAATGAAGATTTCATGTGTTTTTCACAGAATATTGTAAACATAATAAATTCATGAAAGCTATTATATATCCAGCGTGGCTATGACACTGTAAATCTTTTTTTAATTATACTATATTTTTGAAAATACTGTAATCTGTAAACTGTGTTAGCAATTGCACATTTTCTGTTACAAATATTTGAATTATTTCAATATATTCTGATAATCGGTACAACTAAGCGATTCGTTGGAAAATGTCGAAAAGGAATATTTAGAAATTTGTACTCACCTGTACGTGACTCCAGACTTTGGGCTTCGGGCTGGACCTGGCGTTGTTGGTCGCGTTCGAACTTCCAGAATTGCTCGAGACGCTGCTGGACGAGATTGTAGGCTTGACGGACGGTTTTTGCGGTTTCTGAATTTGCGCGGTGACTGTAGCTGACGTGGTGGTACGTTGCTGCTGCTGCTGCTGCTGTTGCGCGGTTGTTTGCTGTTGTTGTTGCTGCTGCTGTTGTTGGGTCTGCTGCATGATCTGTTGAATAAGCTCCAATTGTTGTTTCGTGAGGCCATCGTTACTAGCTCCAGGAGATGTAGCACTCTGAAAAGTTCAATGGAAAGTAGAATGATTAATAAGAGTCTCTGATATTATGAGTGTATGAATATACTAATTAATTAATATAGTAAATATGACAATAATCATATTGATACTATGACAGTCAAACATGTTCCCAAAATATGTGAAACAACATACATAGACTATGAATATTAATAAACTCGTAACCTGCTTACAGAAATATCGAAATTTTACATTTATATTTTAAATGAGAGTTCGTACAATAAACTTTAATGAATAATCCAACGTAAAATAGAATATATGTGAAATAAAAAATATTGTCCATAATGTTTCATTAGACCGTTTCTCTTTATTGCGTTAAAAAAACGGATGGTTCCGGTATTAGGTATTTATAATTGCGAGCATTCCTTTCGGGATTTAATATTTATTCCCGGCGATATCAAAAATGAATACGGCGCTGATAATATCCTCCATCCCTATCTACCGCTCCGAATCATTATTATCAAATGAAAGCCTCTAATGGTGAAAAAAACCGGGGGAAATGAACTTCACAAGGGCGTTTAGACGCGTTATCATTCAGAATTCTAAACAAAACATAGACTGCATTCAGCTTTCCTTTTTCACGAAAATTCCATTCGCTTTCACGTTATCGTCCGTTGAAATATTTGTGAAAAGATCGAGCTATAAAATTTGAGCATGTGTTAATCTCCCGTCGGTGCTGCGCGGCACGTCACACGCGCAAAAACGCGGACAATAAAAGTTATACCGGGGTATGCGATTTCGAAGCGCACACCTGCCCTGCTGGTTCCTATCCGAACCGCGTTTCACCTATTTCGCGCAATTTCTATCCAGGGTTATTACCAATTTATTCAACGAACCAGTGATAATTTAGCAGAAAAAAGCACTCGAACAAGATACAACACACTGCAGAAGCATCTGAGTTGTTTTAACCATTTGTAGATTATTGGTACACATGGTATATTAATATTTTCAACTGTTCATATTTGGTCATTTTTCTTTTTCATTATGAGCAATGGTAATTTGCTATTATTATAACACTCAGCAATTTTGATGGCGTAGCACAGGGCGTTGGTGGGATTCAGAGTGTGCCCAGTGATGTCTGGCCCAGGTAGTTCGTGGGTGTAGCTTTTAGTTTTATACTGAGAAATTTTGGATCATTTTTTCAGTAAAAAAGGACCACATTGTAATTCAAAGATCTAAGAGTAAATATTTACAAATATTAGTTAAAGGACATAGAATTATTAATTCTGTATCTGAAAAATCAAAACAAGATAATTAAAAACCATTGTTTGAAGATAGAAAATATAGGAAATGGTGATTACTCTTTTTTTATTAATTAATTACTAATGTTTAATGGAAAAATGGTACAGTATGAATAAACGTTTAATAATCTCATTCTCATTTCCAACTAAATATAAAGCTACCGTGTACTTTCTTTATATCCCTTTCCCCAGTTCCAATATAAAAGAATAATTGACACAGTTGAGATACCTTTTCCTTTGAAGAAGAAAGCATCGAAATCAAATTCAAATGCACTCGAATTTCGAATATTCCGAAAACCGTCACAAACGGAACAGCAGGCCGAATTTTCAACGCTGCCGAGCCACGAGTGTAATATAAAAGAATCTCGGGCGTGCCGCGCTATTGACGGCACCCATGTAAAACATTTTATAAAAGGAATATCCGAGACGATCAATTTAGGCAGGGACGTTCGGTGTATAAAACAAAAGTGGAAGACAGGAGAAGGATAATAAAATAGAACAATATAGTCCAGCAGTGAAACGAAAAAAAAGGGAAGAATAAAAGGGAAAGAGGAAAACGTGCGCGCGCGCAAAAGCGTGTACACGGAATAATGGCGGACGCGAGCAATGGTTGTCCCGTCCGATCGTTTTTCAACGACACTATAGAAAAAAAACGTAGACGCCTATATGCTTTTTCCCAGCTTCGGGGAAACGGCGAATGCGAGTCATAACAAAGGGACAGAACGCGGGCCGGATTTCACGATTTTTAATTAAGAGACGCTCCCATTGGATTACCACGGACACGCCCGCTCTGCCATTCACGTCATCGCATCCCGACTGTTTCTGGACGCGAGCTTCCCGAATTATTCGGGTGTGATAGCCAAAACGGCGACCATTCAATGCCTGCGCATCCTGCCGTCGATACCGGCGCTTTCGTTATTATGAATGACAGCGGGACGAAAAAAATCGCCGGGCAATTTGTTGAATGGAAGGATAATGTAAATGTATACGTCGGGACGTACGTGTAAAAATAAGTATTAGCTTTTACTAGAGATTTTTTAAGTAAATGTAAGATTCCATATGCATATATAATAGGTGAAGTATTTACTGGGAACAGTATTTAGTGAATTTTTCGGTAAATATTTAGAATTCGTATGCATAACGGGTAGCGGTTAGTAAAAATATTAAGTTCATACCCATTATTGTAATTCTGAGTGTATTATTTGCTTTTCTTAATTTCTGGTAATTTTTTGTAGTATTTACTTCAGATTTTTCAGAATTTACTATTTAACCAGTTAACTGCGTTTAATGACTATACACGTCATTTTAAAGCTTGAAATGATGCTAATTCTTTTAACGATGAATTCTTTATTTTTTCAGATAAGCATGTAATTGTTATTCGTTTTGCTTTGGTTTTCCATTAAAATATGCCCTAGATGCATTTGTCCTGCGTTTGACGAGTACGCATTAGGTAGACGAGTACATTTTTTTATTTTATTGTACGCAAAAGGAGAGATGTTTCAAACTAAAATCCATAGTCAACGGATTAATACTAGCGAAGGATTGTGCACAAGAAATCTAACTTACAGGCTGTTTACCTTCTCTTATACATACGATCCAGTGGTCTACAAAAGTACTTAAAATCGATATGTTTGTAATATAAATAGATATCTCAAACTTATGTTATTCGATTGAAATAGAATGTATGCACATTGTATCTACTATTCGATGCCTACAACCCTTTCATTATAAATACTTCTGTAGATCAGTATATTTATTTTATTTTCATTTCTTCGTAATACATTTCCGATTTATGATACTGTATGTTCGTCAAGATTATGTTGCTAAAATATTGGTGAAAGATATTATATATCCAAGCGGATATTGTTTTCTATCTAGACGACGGATAATGCGATACCTTTGTCCTTTACAAGGAGGTTATAAAAAGTATAAACAGAAATGTAGGTATATACAAAAGAATATTAAATTCACGTTCAACTTAATTGAAGTTTCTATTTCACTGAAGTTTACTTAGTAACATTTATCATTAGATCGATAAAGATTCAAAGTCTAATAATTACCAGTGAAAACTCAAGCGTCAGAAAATAAAAATTGAAAAGTTACCATTACTCGAACAGTGTTTTAGTTTTACAGATTACGCTAAATGCTTTGTCGTTAACATGTAATTGCAATTCAAATAAGAATGTCGGTCTGCGTGAAACTCGCGGCCACGTTCAACACGGTGACTCTATTTACAAAAACCAATTGATCGATACCGAAAACGGGAGACAAAAAAAATATCAATCCAGCTGACACGAAATAATTACACCGCGGAGCCAGCCGCTAATCACTTTTACGCGGGTGCAACGAGTGCGCATACGAAACGGCTGCATCCGGGGGGGATTGCAGCGCACGACACGAATTGAACCGTCGATTAAAATTGGATTTGTTAATTAGTGCTGGGAATGTGGCGGTGGTCGTTCCCGATCCGACTCATACCTTATTAAACGTTCATTTCGTAATTCCCACGCTGCCATTTGTCATTGCTGTAATCAGTAGCCAGTTGTTTTCTGGCCGCGAGGCCGAGGAACACGCGTAAATACCACGTTTTTCCCATCTGCCGACGAAACCGAGGCAGAACGTGAATGTTCAAGCGAATGCAGGCGAAAGCATAAAATATGTATAACGCTGTAAAATTCACGCAGAATTTTTAATATTTTCGTTACATCATTTTGCTTACGATAGTACGGTGCAGTAAATAAGCGATTATATTATTTTGAGACTGAAACGATCGAACTCTGGTTTTGAATGTTTTGCGAAAATTATGGTTTCAACAATATTGGAGAAAATTAGATGAAGTGTTTATATTTATGCGAATACGTACGTAGAAATGTACAATAATTTCTCAGAATGGCTGAATTATAACGATAAAATTAAGAGATAATAAAAGTTTGAATCGAAGAGAATTAATTATCATGTTTACTTTTTAAACCACAGTTTGTAGTTTCTTATAAAACTCTTATTTTATTTTCGAAATAAAGGAACATATAAATACTTTGTACACCACGAAATATTTCAATATCGTAGCATTAGTCATTTTAATAATCGCAACATATTGCACACGCCTTGTCCACAACGATCAATTCTAATCATTCTTCGAGACCCCCCGGGAATCGGAGAGCCTATGTGGCTGACTAATGCGTCAGGGTAAATATCGAGTAATTATAATTAAATATTTATGAGGGAACGGTGAGCCGAGCTCGGTCGGTTCATTCTATGAAGAATTAAACGCACAAAATTGCATTCGTGCGCGGCGTATGATGTTTGTCTTCTAAATATGCCTGTGTTTTCGATCTCCTTAATTTTGTACGTGGAATAGAATGGATGGAATGCTTGTGTATTATTAATTCTGAGTGACGTAGAAACGGTACATAACGTATATATTATGTACGTGTACATACGAATTGTTCCATGCAGGTCGAAAGAAACGAAAAATTTACGAACGTATAAAATTTGAAATAAGACTTCGAATTTCTGTGCTTCGATGGCCATTGACTGTATAAAATTACGCTTGCATTGTTTAATATTCAGTTCAATGAAAGAATTAAACCATTCAAAGCTGAAAGCAATGTTACACGTAAATATTCAATAACTGTAAATGTTTGAAGATTTGTCAATGGGAAAATATAATGGTATTATCATTTTAATTGATACAGATTGTACTTTTGCTTTGTAAATACATTATGTGTTCTAGAAATGTAT